GTCAGTTGACGTTGTATCATCATCATCATCATCTCCATCATCATCATCATCATCATCGTCATCATCTCCATCATCATCATCATCATCATCATCATCATCATCATCATCATCATCATCATCATCATCTCCATCATCATCATCATCATCATCATCATCATCATCATCATCATCATCATCATCATCATCTCCATAATCATCATAATCATAATCATCATCAAAAGCAGCAGCAGCACTCGAAACCTGGCAGTATCCAACAGCAGGGTTGTACAGGGAGTAAGAATTCAATACGCGGTGGAGCGAAGCTATCCCCTCCTTCCCCTGCCATAGCAGCAAGTCGAGGTCAAGTCAGGATGGAAGACGAGGAGGGGCAGAAAAGGAGAGAGAGGACGACGAGGACGTGAAGGTGAGGGAGAGGAAAAGAGGGAAGGGGGGGTTGAAGGAACGATGGAGGAGGAAACAACAAGAATATGCGGGGAAGGGATCACGAGCGGGACGGGAAGAGGGCAGAGAGAGCAGCAAGAGGAGCAGGAAGAGGAGGTGGAGCAGGTGGTGGAGGAGGTGAAGCTTGTAGCAGGGTGAGGGGAGGGGTGAGGGGAGGGGTGAGGGAAGGGGTGAGGGGTGGTCGAAGATACAGCTGCGGAGTCCTTGTCAAGGAGAGGATGTCCAGGGAACGTTCGGTCAAGGTCGAGTTCAAGCTCGTGGTTCCTTTCCTTGCCCTCACACCGCTGATCCAGGAGAAGGAGGAGCAAGTCAGCAGCGGCCTCCTCCTCCTCCTCCTCCTCCTCCTCCTGCTCCTCCTGCTCCTCCTGCTCCTCCTGCTCCTCCTGCTCCTCCTCCTCCTCCTCCTCCTCCTCCTCCTCGCTGCCTGTACCTGCAGCAGCATGGGAAAAACGTGCTCTCCCTTAACCGCTCGCGCCTTCTCCACCCCGCAGAGCAGGGGCCAGATGAACGGGCGGTATTCTTGCATAGGAGGAAAAGTCAGACATTGTCCGAGAAGAAGGAGAAGGAGAGAGAAGGAGAGGAGAGAAGAGGAGAGGAAGGGAGCAGGGAGCAAGGGCAGAACAGAGGACACTGGAGGAGGAGATGGTTGCAGTGAGGAGAGGAGAGGAGAGGCAACCTGTGGGTATCCCATGCACCACAGGACCGCGAAGAAGCTTCCTAGCTGACCGCGTTCGTTGACCCGAAATTTCAATGTGCTCTTGCCTCGATGTCGTCTTCTCAAGTACCTGGTGCTGCAATCAGCACGGCGTAGGAGAAGCAGGAGAGGGTGCAGGAGGGGGAGCAGCAGCAGCAGCAGCAGCAGCGGGAGCATGCAGGAGGAATAACAGCAGGGTGTGAGGGAGTGAGGGACTGGAAGAACAAAGAGGAGAAGAAGAGCATGGCAAGTGGGAATGATAGCAAGATAGACGAAAAACGGTAGGGAAAAAAGAGAAACGAGACAGAAGACAGAAGACGAAAATGATCTGAGAGATAGCAGAACACAAGCGTGTACGAGTTATCATAACAAAGACTCTACGAGATATCAGAAAACAAGCATCTACGAGATATCAGAAGACAGTAATCTACTAGATGATAGGAGATGAGCATGTAGGAGGCAAGCAGTCACCTGGTCTTTATCTTTGAGCTCTTTGATCAGAACCCGCCACTGTTCTCGTATCTCCTGCCTCCGGGGGGCCTGCCAACCACCAACATCACCCGCACGACTCATCAAGATGCTGGCAGGCCGACATGATCCATCTGATGCTGGCGATACTTTTCGACCAGGTCTGCATGAAAGCTTAGCAACAAAACGCCTCGCGCTAACCCTACATCTCACCGTCTTCGATGTTGAAACCATACTCGTCGCACGTTCCTCCCTGCGATCGCCCTGGAGCATAATCAGTTAGGAGGCTGGGTTCGTGTCCATGTCTTCTTCACCTGGTGGAAATTCTTGAGGTTCGTCGCTTGCCATCTCGTTTTCCTGCACACGAAACTGGACGAATCAGATCAAACCCATAAACAACCTCAGGTTGCCCCTGCTTCCATCCATCTTCATCCCTCCTCCTCCCTAAGCTCCATGCTCCTACTCTCACTGTATGTCTTGTTGTTCCTCCCTCCTCCCTCGCCCTCCTCGCCCTCCTCGCCCTCCTCTCCCTCCCGCATGTCCCCGGCGCTCTCCAACCCCCACCCATGCTCTCCCCGATGACGCCGACACCGTTACGTCCGTTACATGACCAAAATATTCAAGGGCCGGAGCTGCAGTCACTGCTCGCCCGGCGGCCGTCCGATGCCGCCTGAAGCTCGATCCGATGATCACTGTCACTCACCGGCCGGCCCGGGGCCGCGCCAGGTCGCGGCCCGGGGCGGGCCTCGCGGCTAACAGAGTCAATCGTACTGATTTTTAATTGGCCTGCGTAGAAGTTCAGGCCGCCCGGTGTAGTCACGAGTGGCAGGGCCGGCCCGCCGGGGGGGTCCGATAGTCACGAGTCAGGGCCGGGGTACTACTCAGTGACAGTCAGGGCCGGCCCGGGGCCGGAACTCAGTTCACCACGGCCCCCGTTGGTCACCGGGGGTACACCCCTTTACTCAAATCTAATAAGTGATAAATCAGTACGAGGACAGTGGCGGAGAGTACTAGTGACTACTAGACATCAGGTGCAGGGGTAGGGACCCCCACCCCCGCACCTTCCGTGCTGTGCTGATTGGCGTCCCGCGAACTTTCGAAAGAAATTTGACAATTTCAGCAGATCGCTGAAGGTCTCACAGTAGGTTTGAAATATGAGTAGATGAAAAGTCAGTCCCAGCTCAAAAGTGACCCTTCCCTGATGCGAGCCATGCGTTGGTGCTGTTGTCTCCTCCTCCTCCTCTCACTCAGCCGCTTCCCAGCTGCACGTTCGGCCCAGTATGGTGAGATATGTCACTCCCCCAGCGACTGCAACACTGCAGAAGCGCCACTTTGCCAATTTTTCTTCGTCGACAAGACGTACATGTACAACAAGGTGCCAGATTCGCCTGTTAGTGATGTTTTCACACAGCCCAAGCTCTACGGCTTGTGTGTGCAGTGCATCAGTGACTGCGATTGCGACCTTGACAAGTATTGCGGCGTCGATACATCTCATCCAGTCGTCACTCCTTCAAACCTGACCTCGAACAATACCGGATCGGGGCTGACAAGAAAGGTCAAGTTGTTGATCGAGGCATACTCCATTCACTTCGGGGATCTTACCCTGCGTTCTAAGTGCAACAGATATCAGCTGCCCAGCACATGCTCCTCGCATATAGACAGTGGAGCGTATTCTGAATCAGTGTCCACGAATACATTCATCGAAGACACCAGTCAGTCCGACGTCAACCAAGCGTATATGACATTTTTCCAAACCCGAGTGCCTTCCGGATTGCCCAAACAAGCTGAAAGTAAGGGAATAGATGTTCACTTTGATTTCAGCCTGACTGCATGCCAGACAGGTTCTGCGGGAAGGTGAATTCATGGGCTCCCGCTTTCCTTCCGGTCATTGATCTCAACCCCGCTGGATCAAATCCCATGCAACTGGCAAACAAATGGAATCTAAAGTCGAATGCCGTTTCGACGGGGAGAAAGTACAATACCCCAGCAACATGCACGCCGGTAATTATAACGTCTGCCTTCTCGCGCCCGATGCTGCTTTCCTGCTGACTTGAAGTGTGTTTAGCACGTCATTTACTTAGATCCGAAGACAACAGTTTGCGCTTCTTGTCAGTACGACAACAACTGTCTTACACAGACAGAGGACTTCTGCTGCCTCCATTCCTACAGCAGTTTTACCAGGACCTGCATGTCACGAATGGACTACAGAAGCTGTGAAGATGCGTGTCAACCGCCTCCATCTGTATTGGTGGGTAACCTTTTCAGCAGCATTTGTCAGGTAACCCTGCATCATGATTCGAGCCGATCAGAACTTTGTTTGATTCAAACTATCAATGATCACATGAACAGACTGCCCCGCTCACGACTGTGGAATCGCAGTTCTGTAAATGCTATCAGAAGTGTCTCACTTGCGTTGCAGCAAACGCTGGTGAGTGCGGCGCATGATTTATCTCTATCGTTGAGAATGTGACATAACACTGGAAGGTTGTGTTTCTGCCGACAGTAGGGGAAAGTGTTCCCCTTGTCAAGTTACAAGTCCTACATCATCACCGGCAGATCAATTTGTTACTTGCAACGAGATACTGCCAACGTCTTCTATGCCATACTCGAGTTATGAATTTCAGGATTACGACGATACATTGGGGAAGTTTCCCACGTTTGTGGGTAATCCTTGGACCCCACAACTGCAAGAGACCTGCAGGTCCGAGTGATACATGACAGACGATACGCATCTAAGTGCGTTGTCATCAGATCAGGCTGCGTGCAGTGTTTGGTAGATGCAGCGCGCAGTTTCTGCACAGCACAAGGCACTTGTCCGGACTCGGTCTATGAGATACACGTGAGTTTTTCTCTTTGAAAGCCCGAACTCTGCATCCTGATGTGGACGATGTTCTGTTATGGAAGGTCCAAGGAGAATGCTCAGATGGAAACTTCCACTATGACAATGCATACTTCAAGTTCTCCATCAATGCCCCTGCAGTTGATTTCCAGGGCAGCTGCATGAAAGGAGAATGCAAGATTTGCAGGCACGCTTGTTCTTCTGCCTTTCAATCTCATCACAGTCTGCTTCACAGCGATGGAAGCATCAGTCGTTGTCAGTGGGATGATGATCAGCCACTTTGCGTCGGCGGTAAGTGGGTGCTCTGGGGACAACTGTTGACAACTTGGCTTGGACGAGCTGCTGCGGCCATCACCTTGCTCACTGTACGATCAAATGCTGAGTACGAGTAGGTTCGGCAGCTGACAGCATGCGCAGGTGTTTGCTGGCTTGATCGCATGCGTGTTGTTGGGCAAGGCGATTGGCTGGTTACGCGCTAAGGGCAGGAAAGAAAGCTCCTCAACGCAATCAGCCTGCTGGTCCATAAGGTTTCCGCCGTCGTTGAAGGTCTGGCGAACCAACAAGTCCAATGCGGGGCCTGTGGAAGCGTCAGTTGGCGGCGAAGAGATGCATGCGTTGCAGTGGGGTACTGTGCATGGCTTGGTCAGGCAGAGTGCGACTGTGCAGGAACCTGCAGTGGAGCTGGAGGGTATAGGTTTCTTCTCAGATGACCAACATGAAGGTAACGAAAGCTCTTCGACAAGCGCTGGGGAGGCAGGGGATCTGCTGGAGTCGGAGCTGAAGCCGAGGTTTGGATCATTTTGATTCAAGAGAGTTTATGGTTCACGAGTGACGAGCAGAGACGTCGAACTGTTCATGCTGCAAGCCGATCCTGTTGCACCTCAGCCAAAGATAGACGGCGAGGTAGTCAACACGGTAAACCCACCCCCTCCCCACCCCACCCCACCCCACCCCACCCCACCCTAACCTTCCGGGAAAAATCATTTGGTTGACCAGGAGGTCAAAGCTGAAGGAACAGGCAAGAAGTTACAAGCAAGCAAGCAGCTTCCCAAAGTATCGCAGAAGCACTCGCGCGATAAAAGCATACAGGAGGTGGAGCCCCTGATCCCCTCCTGCTCGTTCACTTGCTTGCAGGCACCAGTACCAGAGCAGCCTGCTCATGCAGACTCACCCTCCTCCTCCTTCTCCTTCGCTCAGGCCGCTATGGGACCGAAAGTAAGAGAGCAGCTTCTTTCCGAGAGCTGCGCTTGTTCCTTTTCCATGACCTTGGTGATCGCAGCGGTTGTATGAGGTGGAGAGCACGCAGGCGGTGGTCAGTGACTCGGCGAGGCACGTGGAGGAGCTTCGGCGAGTCCAGGAGGCTCGGCTGGCGGCGAAGGTGAGGAATGTGGAAGGAGCCAGCTGGTAACAATGACGAGGAAGGAATGGATGTGGTCGATATCTGAGCATGGGAGGGAATACTGGTGGAACACGAGGACCAAAGAGAAGACTTGGAAGGTGCTGCCCTCCTCCTCTCCTCCTTTTCTCCTTGCTCGTATCGTCCTTCTGAATGCCCTAGTGCTCTCTCAAGGCCCGTCTGCATACTCCTCCATCCTCCTCTCACTCACTTGTGGAGCAGATGCCGCTCATTCTGTTCAGCCTCGGGGAGGAGCTCGAGGAGTACAGGGAGCTGATGAGGTTCAAAGGCACTGACTCAAGGCGCAACACAACCTAAGCATGTCAAGAGCGAGTACAACATCTCCTTGCCTTTCAAGAGCGAGTACAACATCTCTGCCTTTCACAAGTTGCTACTCGAGCAGCTTCATCACTCGGTTATCATCGCTCAGGCGATCTTAGAATCGACGTCGCGTAGGAGCTCTTTCCGAGTCTAACTGAATATCTAGAATCGACCTTGACTCTGTGAGATGGTTGAAGTACTTGAGGCTGACCGCATCCACAAAGACCCTTGTTGTGTAAGAGATGTTGGACTCGATGAGGATGGCCGTCGAGGCGTCGGAGTCGGTGATGAGGTTTGGGAGCTCGACATTCTGTGTCACGGTTACATACGAGGTCCGATACGGTCTCAGTTGTAGAACGTCTACACACTGGCATGCGATATGCCGCGGCACTCAGTGCTGTACGTCAGTCAGCGTTTCTGAATGCTGCACAACTTTGGAGAACTTAGTGGCACCCACTGAGAGGCTCCGAGCCTCCGCTAGTGGCCGGCGCCTCTTGCTGACTCTGGCCGCGTGAGATGGTGGGTACGGTAGTGCCGCTGCCGGCCCGGGTTGGCAGCCCGGCCGGGCGGCCCGGGCTTCCCGGCGCCGGGAGAATTTGAAGGTTCGAAGATGAGTTGAGCGAAATATTCTGGTACAAAAGTTGGAGTCTTGTCAACGGTCCGCAAAAGGATTTGACTGTCAAACCGAACAGGGCACAAGTAGAGAACAAGAGAAGAGAAGAGAAGAGAAAGAGAGAGAGAGAGAGAGAGAGAGAGAAAGAGAAGAGAAGAGAAGAGAAGAGAAGAGAAGAGAAGAGAAGAGAAGAGAAGAGAAGAGAAAGCAGAAGAGAAGAGAAGAGAAAGCAGAAGAGAAGAGAAGAGAAAGCAGAAGAGAAGAGAAGACAAAGCAGAAGAGAAGAGAAGAGAAAGCAGAAGAGAAGAGAAGAGAAAGCAGAAGAGAAGAGAAGAGAAGAGAAGAGAAGAAGAGAAGAGAAGAGAGGAGAAGAGAAGAGAAGAGAAGAGAAGAGAGAGAGGAAGAGGAGAGGGGATGAGGGGGTGAGGGGAGAGAGGAGAAAATACAAGAAGAGAGGATTGAGATAAAGGAAAGAGACGGGTACCTCAGCAACAGTCAAAGAGACATACTGCCCGAAGAGACTTAGAGAGACAGGAACGCGGACAGTTGTTCAGCTCCATCCGAGGTTACCGTACAACCCGATCATCATGGCTATCGGGCGATATTGGATCCTTTTCTCGGGTATCGTCCTGATGGTAAGGAAGTGGTTGTACCTTTCATCTCAACTTGTGTTGTTTCTGTGTTTCCTGTTCTTTTCCCTCTCCCTTCCATATCCTTTCCTGTCACTGCCATGCTGGACGACAGAAGATCACTGAGCCCTAGTTCCATCGAGCTTGTAGCTTTTTACTTGCTTTCTGTCCCCTGCAGATCCTTGGCATCGTTGTCGTAGCCACAAGCTATTCAGCTGCGGACTTTGTTCAGAACACGTTCAACACAGTTTGCAGCACAGTCACAGACAGCAACGCGTGCATATCCGCGCAAGCAACGGTAGACTGCACGGAGCAGTGCAAAACAGCTCCGGACCAGAAGGAGTGCAACGTGAAATGTCAAGGTCAAGTCTCCTCGCAGGTCTACACGTCAGAGATGTGCGAGGTGAGAGGAGGGGACCTCCCTCCCCTCCGCATGCTCGCTAGCTCCCTGCTGACGGCGAGTACAAGGTTGACATCAGAACAGAAGCCGGTTGCAAGTGCCCTGCCAGCAACGATCCCTCTCAGTGTGACTGCTCGGGCGAGACCATCGGAATGCTGGAGGAATACTGGAAGTTAGCATGCATGGCACTGGGTAAGAAGCTCTTCCCCTCCTCTCCTCTCCTCTCCTCTCCTCTCCCCTCCTCTCCTCTCCCCCTCCCCTCCCCTCCCCTTCCCTCCTCTCCTCTCCCCTCCCCTCCCCTCCTCTCCTCTCCTCTCCTCTCCTCTCCACTCCACTCCACTCCCCTCCACTCCCCTCCCCTCCTCTCCCCTCCCCTCCTCTATCATCACATTTGATACAGGAGCGTTTGGATTCGTTGGTGCTACACTCTTGACAGGTATCCCGGCAGTCATATTGACCTTCAGACACTACAGAGTTTGCAACGTGACATGTTTCAGGCAAGAGATTCTTCAGATTTTCACTTTCCCCGTCCTCCTCTCCTCTCCTCCTTTCCTC